TCAACAGACCATCCATTCGTGTCTGTTCCGGGGCCCCCACTGGGGGGAGGGGGTGGGGGACAATAGAGTCACTTCCTCTAAAAACATGTCTTAAAAATCGACTGCTAATGAGTCAAAGTGCATCTGTCTGAATGAATGACTGTTGAAGAATTATAAATCGACATCATAGCACTCGGGACACCCCTCATAAGCGCTCCGTCCCCGTCTTCAGCAGCACACGAAGAGTTCCAATTCCGATGGCATTAGTAAATGTCTTATTGTATATCCGTCTCGCCCTTCCCTTGAGTGTTGAGCATCGGCCAGATCCCATGGCAATACCTCGCAGGGCCAATCTCCTCAGACCGTAATAATCTATTTGCGCTTCCGCACTGTTCACTAGCTCCCAAAGGGCCCTACAACATCTAGCTTGTTATACATCAGTTCACCACCAAGTGGTGCAGAACCGGCCAGTCTATCTACCTGCTCATTTCCAAACACACCGGCATGACCTGAAGAGAATATCCAAAGGATTCTAACTACCTAGGTCCTCTGAAGTGATACTTGCCACTATGCACGGAGCATACCTGTCTCCACCTTTCTCAACATGCTCTGTGAGTCAGTTACAATCACAGCTGATTCTCAAGCCAGCGGAATGCAGCAGTGACGGCCTCCACCTCCATTCTCAAACTAAAAGTTGTGATATCATATGCCAGGTTTTGTTGTACTAAGCGACGTCCATTTGCTTTTGCTATAAACCTCCACGCAGTTCGTCTGCCCTTCAACATGAAGCAATCTGTATAGATAATCACATCAGCTGGGCGTCATTTGTCATGAATCATTTGTTGAACTTCTGAGCGCCAGCTTGCCAGTCCCTGCACTCAGGACCCAATGTGATAAAAACCCTACACAAGTCTGAAACTTGCTCAGACACTTTCTGTCTGATAGGTAAGGAACGAACAGACTGCACACAAATAAGAGGGATCTGTAAAACAGATATGCATGCAACACCATTGTTTCCTTCCGTTCACGGAGCCTTGTGGGTAAACTTTTTGGATGGTCTCTCTGTTATTTTTCCACAATTACCCCACACCCCGTCTTCGTTGGCTATTTCGGTTTTACTAGGCAATTTTGTTGTTCATTAGTTTGTCATTGCTGTCTGAAAGGTCGAATTTCGATACATTGACAAATCGCATGCAGCTGGAATTGAACCGGGTATCTCGGAATTATGAAGCGCGTAAGCCATTAAAGATGAACGGTTGTGTAAAACTGAATAAATATTCTATCAATTCTACAGTACTAACTACCTCGGCTATTGCCCCCTTTTTGATTCTGGTCAATGGTTTTTCTGTCTGACTACATTTATGTTGTTGTAATCTGAATTCCAGAGAAATTTGACTAAAAAGCTCAACAAAATGGGAAAAAGGAAAACGTGCACAAAACAACACAACGTAACGTTTCGGCCAGGCAGCCTTTTTCAAACACAAGTTGTAATCTGAGCACAGCAATGACTTACAAGGAAAAATAGATGATTTAACAGAAATAGCATCAACAGTTGGACTACAAATAAGTTGTGAAAAGATACACATTGAAGACACCTATAACAGATTTAGCAGATTTAACACTAGAGACAAAAGGAAATTAAACTGCATATTAATGTTCTTATTTAGTTAGTAATATTAATAGTCAAGGATACACACAGACAGAAACTATAACTCGCACTGTCATCAGTAGTTTTCAAAAGCTTCACCAAAATGTGGAACTCTAAATCATATGGTTTTAGAACTAATTTACATAGTTTCAGTTGTTATGTGACTTTCGGAGAAGCACTTAAGACATGGAACGGAAAGTTAAATACTTTGGAAAACAAATGTTTGAGAAAAAAAAAGTGAACATAAAAACAGAAGAGTTCAAGAGATGTGAAAGAAATGTTTGTGATTAGTGATTAGAAAGGATTATCATCACAGCACTCCTGACAGATCCATAGGTGCTCCGATCTTCTCCTCAGAAGCTCCACAAATGTAAAACAACTGATGACGCCTGTTCTGTGTTTGTTAATAAAAACGTCTTGTCCTCTTAGTGAAATGTTCATTTCTTGAAGCTCCAGGCTGCACCCCCGATGTCCATGTTTGGGTAACCGCTAGTCTCAGCAGTTATAAGACCGAGAAGATAGCGCTATACTGCACACACTTTCGAAGAAGAAACCAACAAGAATCGTCAAATAGGCACTGCTTGCTTGCAGTTGATTCCCTCCAGGATTGCCGTGCCAAGATTACCACCTCAAAGATTACAATTCTTCTTTTACTAATCACGTAACATTTTCAGTCCCATGGAACGCGCCACACGTTCTTAGGATGCCTATTGAGAAGCCCAGTGAACGATAAAATGAACTAATTATACATTTCTTTTTACCGCCAGTTGGGCCTCGTATGTTAAACCACTCTGGAACTGAAAGATGTTAGCCCCGTTCAACCGTTAGGACCTCTTGTGGTTAGGAAGCAAACTGAAGATTGAGAAAACGCAGACGTCTAAGAAAAACCAAAGGTGAACATTGTCGTGAGAAGCCAAGTGTGCTCAACTGGACATAATCCAAGGTACTAAAGTGACTGCACAAGATAGAACTGAATGGAGAAACAGACTGTGAGACCTATATGAATAGTACAGTAGCACAACAAAACACTGGGGGAAAAAACGATATCTGAGGAGGACCGCATAAATCTTGCACGTGTACATTCTAATGACTTGCACTGTTATAAATGGCCTGGTTTGTGCCTGCGGGTAAACCAGGTAAATGTGCAAGAGAACATCAATCAATCACTACATGGAATGAACCGACCCTTCAGTAGGGCTGCCAATGGGATGGGTTTTTTTTTTTTTTTAACCAGCTAAGCTTAACAAAAACCCAAGCAATACATAAGCGAAGAACCAAAAAAAAAAAACCAGATTGTTAAAAAGTACACATTTTATAGTGAACATTTACCCACTTTTAAATAAAAAAAAAATTTTTCAGCCAGATTTCAAAATCTGTACCCAAGACGTCAAATAAAAACTCAGATATGGGGGTAAAAACCCATCATTGGCAGCCCTGCTCCTCAGGCTCAGCCACTATGGAAATAGTAATAGAAAGCTAAGGTTTCACAAGCCACCACCACCATCTTCCTTGCCTCCCATTCTACAGTATTTATTCACGCTTCAAGAGGATCATATAATGCAGTTTCACTAAGAATATTGCGAAGATACTGAACTTGTGAATATCTCCGGGCAAGATTGGTAGAGAAACACGCTTTAGAGGAACGGACGGACGATCGGATGGGCGGGCGGACGGATGGATTGATTGATGGACGCATAGGCAGCTAGATAGACAGACAAATGGGCAGACGGTCATAGAGATTGGGATCCTGCCACAAAAATAGGTAGACAGATGAACAGACCGAAGACACAGGCTAAATAGAGAAAAAAGTAGTTAAAAAAAAAAAAAACAATTGCGGAAATACGCAAAAACTGACGTAAAAATGTTTATGTCCCAGCAGTTGTGAGGTGAAGAATATATCACCAACACCAGGTTGCTTAGATTAAGAGCATATTAACCTAGCATCGTGTCTCCAGAGTAGAAATAGCGCAATATCTAGCACGCTTGCCTGCCCGCTTGGGGATCATAGGTTCCACTCTACATAGAGGCAGGTTACTTAGCTGGCTTGAGCTTCCACCTGATCCAGGCTAGATGATTACAGGGACATTTCAGGGGAAGTAAATGTGGTTGGTTTTGTATTGTTTACATTGCTTCTGGAATGTCGAACTGTCTATAAAAGATGAAGCTATTATCGTATGTATGACTGCATTAAAGGAGTGAAAACAGAATCTATTGTGCAAAAAATGTCGGGTGCTCTGACCAAACGACAATCTACAAACACACACACACACACACAAACACACACAAATGTATGAATATATATATTTATATATATACACACACACACACAAACACACAAATAAATATATATATATTCATGGGTCTCCATGGTCAGGTCGCTTGTCTCATGCGCTGAATGTATGGTTCGTTTCACGACTGTTCAGGCAGGCGCCATTTTTACGCGAATCCCTGGCGATAGTCTCTGATGCTACGGTGTTATATTTTGCGCGACGCTTTCAGCAGGCGGCTAGCGGTTCTGCTGAGAGAGACCGAGCCACATGGAAGAAAACCCGGCGCAATGAAGCTGTTCCTCTAGACTTGAACTTTTACTGATATATAAATACATAAAACTAGAGAGCGAGAGAGAGATAGAGAGAGAGAGACAGAGAGAGAGAGAGAGAGAGAGAGAGAGAGAGAGAGAGAGAGAGAGAGAGAGAGAGAAGAAGAAGAAGAGTAATGAAGTATGGAAATAAATCATGGACAATCAGCTGATTCTTAGGGGCCTGTGTGAAACGCTGTAGAGATGGGCTTCTACTGAAACAATTTTCAACACCTTAGTACACAGAACTAGTGACCAGTGTCCAGAGGAGAACACTGAACGTTCTTTAGGTAGGTAAAGATGAGTTGAAAACTGGAGTACATCGTGATAATGGATAAGAAGAAAGAAGGAAGTTGGAGAATAAGAATGTTGGAAGGTCAGGCGTCATTACATCATAAATGTTTGGCAGGACACAAGACTAACGACCAAGGCTTTTCTTCTGACGGTACGCAACGGCTTTTATGCCGGCATTTGTTAAGGCATCAGCCCCCCCCCCCCCCCCTCACCCCCAAACGGCTACTATATTAGGCACTCCGATGTGTGTACTGCACTTTTTGTCCTAACCCCGCTGAAGGCTATGGACTGAATAATTACAAGTGACATACGAAACGGATTATCAATATAAGTATTGCTTTTCTTAGCGTGATAAATTCCTGATAACACCTTTTCACGTAATAATTAATGCAATAGCCATGAAGACAAATGTCCCTAAATAACTTATCCTTAACTAAGTCGACATAACACGTGCACAGTATAAACACAGTTTACAGATATACGTAGATAACAAACACAAACCTTTCCGTGGCATTGTAATCCTAGTCGCTGTTCTGCTTAATTAAATTGTAGTCAAGCTGTTGAACTGTTCACGCCAAACGGGCCTGTGAAAGTTGACTAGTCAGTATAGCTCAAGCACAAGCGTGACGCAAACGTTCATTAATGTTGGCCACAGGATCCGTTCACTGGCTGTGCTGGTTGTAATGTTTCACAAGTAAATGTTCTGCCTAATAACATCCTTGAGTGGCCGAAAGCTTAACTGAACACTGTCTACATTTGACATACATTGCCACAACACGATTTCTTACAACGATATTCATAGACAATATGCTAGCGTCTTGTAGTGAAACAGCATCGTCTGCTGGCCTTCTTCAAACTGCTAATTATAGAGAAATGTCAAAACGTTTCCCTGTCACTTGTTTAACAGTGCTGTCACATTTATTTCGCCTGTTTTTAAAAACACCAATTATGCAGTGACCTTTTTCAAGTTTACTTTCATTAAACGAACAAACAGAAAGATACAGTTCTTTTATGTAGAAAAGGTAAAAAACAAATTATCGTGTGGGTTCCGGCTCCCGTTTTTGGGTAAAATAAGAACAGACCCACTGTCTCCCCAACAAGCATATCGTAAGAATCGACTAATTGGGAACTTCCTTCAAAGTCGGAGTGTATCTGCCTGAGAGGCAAGGAATCAACAGTCTGCATAAAAATAAGCAAGTTCTGTAAATCGGAAGCACACGTAAAACTTAGATACTGGAATAAAGCCGAAGTCCAAAAATGGACGAACAACCAGGTCTTTCTACCAGGGTTTACAGCCGGTTAACACAAACAGAGACAGGTAAAGTCGAAATGATCGAATTCAGGGCACTGGGATTTATCCCATATGGCTTAGTCTTTCTTCGCAGAAGGGCCATACAAAGCAAGAACATCGTAGCTCCGGCGACGATCTTCAAGAGTAATGCTCTCGTTGAGCAAATGGCGTAGCCCTTTGATGTAACTATAGCTATTTTAATATGATTATTTAGAAATTTCAATGTATAAAAAATTAATCATGGACAATAAGTAAAGAAAGGTGAAAAAATTTATTTTGGCTTCAAAGGTGTTTTTTTTTTTTTTTACAGATGAACGCTCACAATTCCTCAGAGTAGCCAGAAGAAGTAATCCAGGTGTTTAGAGGTTATGACTGGAAAACAATTCACAACAAACATTTGTTGGACCATATAATTAGAAGAAACAATCTAGAAAATGTTCCGAGGACTGGAAACGTTTATAAAAATGAGGAACAGGTGAACACTGTACGAACAAATTCTTGACAGCTTGTCATGGCAGGAAGAGCTAGCACACGATCGGATGTTGTCGCAATCTGAAACTGTCGAGAGACATGTTTGCCCACACCAGTCGACAAGACATGTGATGATGATTAATTTCTGCGTCTCACAGCTTATGAAAAAGTATCTTGTAGATAAGAAACATGTTTTGAAACTTGAAATTAGAATATTATGTTTTTGCACTAACCAAACATACATAAGCATTTCATACATACAATTAGGATGTTGACAGTATAACAGTTTACGAATAACACGAAAAATGCATTTAACGAGCAGGGTGCGCCTTTGATTTCATCGCTTTCTAATTGTTATTCAACACAACCCAAATGCATGTGAGGATGTTACAGCAATTTTTTCCCCACCCTCGATCGTCCAGCCCCTTCGAGGGGGGTGGGTGGGGTTGGAAGGGGTGGGGGCAATGTTACCCAATGTGGGGAAAGTCTCGTATATATTCTTACAGTAGGGCCTGTGAATCTGTTTTATAAAAGTGCAAGGAAATTAGAAACTTGCGACTGTACAGCGCTTATTGGAATTTATACATGTAGGATTCTCATTCTTCGAGGTGTTAATCCTGCAGAATGCAATGCCAGAAAGGACAAACTGCAGCAGCAGGAGTGGCAACAGTCGTAAAAATTTACATTATTTATGTCAAATGCGAAGTTGTGTATGTACGAAGCACAGTGTTACCGAGATACTATGCTATCAAGAAACGTGTACACACGATTTATACCCACTACCCCGAAACAATAGGATTTTGGTGATCCAAACACCCCTTTTTCCCTGTATTAGTAACAGATAAAGGGCATGCAGCCTGTTATTCTGTTATTCTGATAGTACTTTTTATACTGAATGAGGGAAAACGCTCAGCTCTAAGGTTATTGAAAATGTATGTGGTGCCCCATCCCTTTGAGATACCCTAAGCAGGTGCTTGGTGAACCCGGATATGGTTAGGTGTAGGAACAATTTACTTAGATAGTGTAGTTGGTATATTAAACTTTCCTCTTCCCTTACGTGACAATAGGTTTTTTTTTTTTTTAAACAGGAATGCTGTCATTGTGTAACCGTGGTATGACCATCATACCACGACGTGTCCGATATGACCATAATAATAATGAATTCCTTCAAGAATCTCACACCATAATGTACCGTGTACACAAACATGCTGTACGCCGTACACCAACATACAGTACACCACAATATATGCGGTTATACCCCGTGTGTTTTAAACTCGGAGACAAAAGAGGTGTGTCTGGCCTAAAATGTTGTCCGTTTGTGAAGTCACGACATACAACGCGTGACTGAGATCGGGATAGCCGAACGCATCTAATCAGCACGACAAATACAGGCAGACGTCGTTCTTGTGTAGACTATATGTAGATGGCTCCATACGTGCCGGTTAATTTACTCACATGGACTGCAACTGAATCAAGTTAACTTGGAAATACACTTAGTGAGCTTGTAATAAGAGCTGGAACATGAGGGTCAAGTGGCGTCTATAAGTCATGTGATAAAACAGTAGTTATAGACCCGTGAAGCAAGTGCAGATCTGAGCAGTGCTGTTTTTATGGATGCGCACGCTGAACAGACGCCAAGGGGACCTGCTAGCACAGACGATGGTTACGTCGACAACATTATACAGTTCTTTGTTCAGGGGACAGCTAATGCCGTTAAGTAGGCAGAGAAGCGAGACGGACATTTCATTCATATTTCTCTCTCTCTCTCTCTCTCTCTCTCTCTCTCTCTCTCTCTCTCTCTCTCTCTCTCTTTCTTTCTTTCTTTCTTTCTTTCTTTCTTTCTTTCTTTCTTTCTTTCTTTCTTTCTTTCTTTCTTTCTTTCTTTCTTTCTTACTTACACATACTAACTTTAGCAAGTTTCTGGTGTGTGCGTGAGTGTGTGTGTGTGTGTGTGTGTGTGTGTGTGTGTGTGTGTGTGTGTGTGGATGAGTGCATGGAGGCGCGCATACCAGGCTCTCAATAATATTCGTCCTATACCAAACCCAAAATCTGCCTTATGTCTGCGCCTCTCTATTACCGAACCTGTGTGTGGTTAAGTCACATTTCTGCAGTCGAAAGAAAAAAACAAAGCAATTTAAAAACTGAAGGATGGTGAACTATGTCCGCATTCCACACCGGTGTGTTCAGGCGGATGATAACCCTGTCAAAAGATGACAAGTTTTGGGACCCTAAAGTGCACGTGTTCAACTTGGCGCTGTCGTCATTTAGTGACAGCAGTTTCGAATCTCTGTGTAGCCTAATTGTCAATGTTATGTTGTCTAGTGTGTCCTGTTGTCTTAACTTTGTCCTTGACTTTTATAAGCACGGATCAACACCTACCAACTTCTGTCTCTTGTTCTCACGCTGAAGTTAGAGGACATCGAGATTGGAGCTTATTCATCGAATGCACAGAATCCTGCAGACTATGTGCGTCAGCGGTCAATCATGTAGGGTTGTTTAAACGGATGCACGATCATCGTCCACAGTAACAATAATGTAGGGTTGTTTGAACAGATGTACGATCATCGACCACAGTAACAATAATGTAGGGTGGTTTGAACGGATGCACGATCATCGACCACAGTAACAATAATGTAGGGTTGTTTGAACGGATGCACGATCATCGTCCACAGTAACAATAATGTAGGGTTGTTTGAATAGATGTACGATCATCGACCACAGTAACAATAATGTAGGGTTGTTTGAATAGATGTATGATCATCGACCACAGTAACAATAATGTAGGGTTGTTTGAATAGATGTACGATCATCGACCACAGTAACAATAATGTAGGGTGGTTTGAACGTATGCACGATCCTCGTCCACAGTAACAATAATGTAGGGTTGTTTGAACGGATGCACGATCATCGACCACAGTAACAATAATGTGCCCTTAGAACACGACCATGCCATCACAACACGACCACTAACTACTTGTAAATGCGTCTTGCTTCTGTATAACGTAAACTTAAAGATCTCTTTTCACACCTTGTGCGCATCTGGCAAATGGGAAGAGCACCTATATTTTTACAGACCAATCGGCACTAGGTTGGTAATGTGGTTAACATCATGCCGGCGGTCTTTACTTCCCCAGGACATGCATCCTGGTACCCACTTTAGGCTTGATGCAGCCAGCAGTGGGTTCCGATCGCGGTATGTTGGAATTACGAGTCGGACTCGCAACGCCTAAGCCACAAGCGTCGCCTTGCACCCGTATACATTTCCTAATATGCAGTTTGTCACAATAAATCGTGCTTCACTGCATTTGGTAATTATTTTTTTTACAACGCATCTCTCGTGTGTGATAATAAATCCCACTATACTCTTTTTAAAGCCTTACACCCTTTTCTCTAGTACAATGCCTTATTCGCCCCTGTGTCCCTAAGGTCGTCGCAGGAGCAAAGAATAGTTACACTGCACCCTGCATGTTTTAAGAGGCGGCTAAGGGTAGGGTTAGGTTCGAGGTTGGCTACCTCATCCTGTTTAAAAAAAAAAATAGCCACAAAAAAAAATACCGGCCATGGAAAAATCAAAAAGAGAAACAAGAAAAACCCAGTCAACGAAAATAAGGTGAGGCTCTTCTAGTAGAAAGAGTATGACACGGTGCGGAAGCGGCGGAAAAGAGTCCGGATCGTCGATGTACATAGGTTCATCTAGGAACATCTCCAGAAGTAGCACCTGGAATGTTAGAGCTGTGTACGATGAAGGAAAA